AAAAAAAAAAAAAAAAAAGAGAAACTTGTTTTGTCCAAGGGTTAACTGTATAGAGTTTATACTATGACTAATTATTTGTTGTCATTGTTACTTAATTTTGTGGAATGGAGAAGGGATATGTTATTTAACATTACACAGAACCTATTCCTACATAATCAAGGTAGGCTTCAAGATATAGACAACATAGATCGTATCAGTCTGAAGACAGAGCCACATAAAGTTTTAACTTCAAATGCATACAACTATGTTTGGTAATCTATAAAGGAAACTTGGAGAGGCAAAACTCTTCAGGCTACCGTGCTGAAAAACAAAGTTTGTATTCTACATTTATGTATTTAAAATTCAAAGACAAGAGAGGACAGTATGTAAAATTGACTTTATTTGACATGCATGTATACCAAATATAAAATTAGCTTAGCTGACAGATCTAGGTAGTTTAAAACACTAAATAGATCATACAAAACAAATATTGGCAACCATTTCTTATAGGCTTCTCATCTACAATGAAGGACTTTTGTCATTGCCATAACTTGATATTGCTGGAAAACATTTTTGATATTTGACATTGTAGTATGAAGTAAAAAATGGAAAAACAAGAAACATATATATACTGAAAAAAAAACAATAAATCCATACATACTTGCTTGTCCTTAAAAAGAAACATATCTAACAGAGCAAAAATCATGAGTATCCAATATACACATAGACATCAAGTTAATCTATTATGCAAGAACCCACTTTCTGGCAGGAAAGAAAAGTGAATGATTCATCCTTAACACTCTGTCAAGAGTTACGCTTGAGTCAAATAAAAGGATTTTGCTAAAGTCAGTTGACTCTTTAACATGTTTGCTCTCTACTCTCACAAATACAGACCCTTTTTTTAAAGAGATTGAGCACCTTAGCTAGTCCTTTAAATGAGTCCCTTTGTCCTCTGTACTTTTGGGATTTATCTTTCTGAACCCCAAATCTCAATTGCCTGTTCAAAAGTCTAAACTTCTTGGTCTACACAATACTTGTACCTGACCATTGCTTTCCTTTTTGACATCTTTGCTCACCACTCTTGCTCTGCTCTGGCCCCTGAAGCACTTGCACTTGCCTGAATACCCTGTGCAGTTCCATGTTTTCAAGTCAACAACTAGTAGGGTACCTCACAGCTATGTGCCAGGCATGTTGTAGGCAATTTTCATGAATTTGCTCATGCTATTTCCAATGCATGGAATGTCCTGCCTGAAATCTGTTTCCTGGAAAATATCACCCAAGTCTTGGTACGTGGTTTGTATAAATTTGGCCTTATCAGTTAAAATCAACCGTTTCACTTTCTGTGCCTTCAGTCAGCTTTATGCAAATGTCAACTACAGAGAGTCCTAATACAATTATGTCTACTAGGCCATAAACTTTGAGAAAAAGGTCCATGCCTCATTCATCATTTCATCCCTAACACCGGCCTAGTATCTGACACTTACATTAATTCATCTTAGTCCCAGTTAGTCCTATTCTGCCTTCATCTATGACAAATAATAAAATAAGCAAGAAAAAAACTTCATCAGACACTACTAAGTTATCATTTCAGAAGTTAGAATAGAAATACAGAAATATAAGGGACTTGCAGGAGCATAAGGATGAATCTCAACTGATGAAGCCCAGAGAAATTCATGAACTGCCTTAAGTTAGGAGACACATTAATGGCTCAGGGTTTCTTTTATAACTGTGATCAGGAAGGTGTGCTTTTCTTTCTACCTTGTTAGCAACTAATCAAACTGAGCACAACAAAACAAAGACTCCTTTTCTCCCACGAAGTTCAACGGTTCTAGTGTTGTAGAACATTTCACAAATAAAACCATCCTTCTAGTTTCCTCTTCCCATGAACAGTTGAACACATCAATGTGATAAGATCACCTTACACTATTTCTTGGCTTAATGCTAACATTGCCTCCTGCAGGTTAAGAATTCTCTTACCCTTCTGGCAGATTAAATTGCTTCTTCTTCTGTATTCCCACAGCACTGTATATACTGTATTATAGCTACTATATGAATAATAATATTAACTCTGGACCATAAAATTGCAACTGGTCAATGCCTGGCATACAATGAGCATTCAAATGAACAATGAATTGAATCTTGCTTTAATGAAATAAGACTAATTATGTCCATTCCAATCTTTTTTTTTTTTTTTTTAAAGGAAAAAAACTTGCGAAGCTTTATTTAGGCAGTAATGGTTACAAGTAATACTCAGCTAACCTTGTATTCCGCGCCTCCCATGCAGTCCCCTGAGCAGGCTCAGCTGCCCTTTCCCTTCAGTCTCACTTCTTGTCTTCCTCCTTCTTGTCCTTCTTGCCGTCCTTGGTGGCCTGGGAGGCCAGGGAGCCCGTAGCATTTCGAATGGCTTCATTGTTGGGATCCACGCCTGGGAGGTTCTCTAGAACACTCTGAAGGAACTCGGGGTCCTGCATCACATTGTAATCATCCTCCTCCATGGCTGGCTCAGATGTGTCCATGGCTGAGCTGGCATCAATGTCTGCTGATTGCGCCTGGCCAAACTCTGCTCCCAGCAGGGACATCTGCATGGCATAAGCAATCTGCTCTTCCTCAGTCATACTGCTTAGGTCAGGAAACCCAGTGCGGCCAAACTCTTGCTGGCTAATGGTCATCTTCAGCAGGGCATCGCCTGAGTCTTCAGTCCCAGTCGTAGCAATCCCGGTCTCAGCAGCAGAAGCTGCAGCTGCCCGCCGGGCCTCCTCCTCCTGCCGCTGCCGCTGATCTTCCATAGACACACGAAGGGCCAAGGCCAGCTCAGGATCCGCACTGGGATCTACACCAAATTCAAAGTCACTGGCACCGAGACCCAGCATGGCACCACCTTCACTAGCCAAAATCAGAGAACTGATGAGAGCATCAGCCAAGCTGGGCCCAGGAGGTACTGTCACCAGATGAGAACTGGTTCCATCTTTGCCATTCAACGTGTTTACAAAGGCTGTCAGCTTTTCTGTGTTCACCTCCTCTTCCCCAAAATTGATAATGTCAACATTTACTTTCTCCTTCGATGCGTTTAGCCAGTTTCACCAGATCCTTCTCATTGTCCTCCACCCGGCTTCCCACAAAGGCAATGATGCACATCTTGTGATTCTTGCCCTGATGGTGCCTCAGAGCCAGATGGGCCACGCGGATGCCAGTGCAGAAGGTGATCTTGCCCTTGGGCTGGACAGTGTGTAGCTTGGACAGGATATGGCCAGTGTCTGGGGTTAGTGTGGTCAGCACTTCACAGTCGTCAGCCAGTGTGATAAGGCCCACGTTGTTCTCCGGGTTGCTGCGGGTCTTTGAATGACAAACTACCGTATGTTGACAGCATCCTGCTGGGCCTGCAGCCGGGTGGGTAAGAAGTCCCCATTCTGCATATACTCACTGTTGTCCACACACACCATAGTGCTTTCTAACACCATCTTGCCACTTTCCTCCCTCCCGACCTGTTCACCCGTCAATTCCAATCTTAAGAACATCCTTGGCTTTAATAAGGGGTCTTTATCTTTAAGCACAGATTTAATTTCAGACAGTGGTTTTTGCTGCCTGTAGTAACTAAAGTTTGCAAAAATTATTTGAGGATACTATATTTTTAAGAAATGAGGCCGGGCACAGTGGCTCACACCTGTAATCCCAGCACTTTGGGAGGCCGAGGTGGGCGAATCACGAGGTCAAGAGATATCCTGGCCAACATGGTGAAACCCCATCTCTAATAAAAATACAAAAAAATTAGGTGGGCATGGTGGCGCGTGCCTGTAGTCCCAGCTACTCGTGAGACTGAGGCAGGAGAATTGCTTGAACCCAGGAGGCGGAGGTTGCAGTGAGCCG